TCAAGAGAAATGTGCTTTTGAAGCTCTTCTTGGTTACCAGGAGCTGCCTCTGTGCCAGGAGCCCAGCCCAGCTCAGCAGCACAGACACAGCACAAGGACTTTAATGAGCCTCTGGGGCTTTGTGCTGAAGCCCTGAACATCAGTCCCTGAGAGGGAGCTGAAGAAACCTCTCCAGAACTCCAAGTCAGAATCCAACTTCAGACTTTCTTGGACATGTAATGGGTCCCACTGTGGGACACAACTGAGAAAGTGTCCCCAGGCCCCAGGCATAGCAGAGAACTGCAGGCAGTGATGACAAGGGGGGACAAAGAGAAGCCAAGTCTTGGTGCCCTGGGGCACAGCAGGGTCTGTGCCACCAAGGGCTGTGAGGAGACACCTTGTCCTGAGGCCCTGGGGCCTCCTGGCACAGCCCCAGCCAGGCTGGGCACTGTCAGCCTCTTGTCCTGCCCTCAGCTTCCCCCCCTAGGCCACATCCCAGTGGCCTAAAGGATCTGCTGGAAGGAGTTCCTGGGGAGCCTTGGCCAGGAATGGCCTTGGGAGCTCCTTAATGCTCCCTGCAGGGACTGCAGGTTTTTCAAAGGATTTTGGGTTTGGCTTTTTTCTTAGAGTGTCTGAGAGGTTTGGGCAATCCTGGACTTAAATTATCTGCTGTAATTAGTCCCTAGAGAGGCTTTGTCAGTAACAACACTCAGTGGGGCTCATTAACTACTTCAAGGTACTTCAGTTATTTTAAGGTACTTGGTATTTCCCTTTTGACACAGACTCTGTGAAAAGTTTGTGCAATCATGGCCCCAATTCTCTGCTTTAATGAGTCCCTGGAGAGCTTTGTGCTGACACTCAGTAGGGCTCATAACACCTTGAGATATTCAAGGTTTTTAAGGTACCGTATGGATTTAAGAATACTTTTAGGTACTTTTAAGGATTTTCCTTTCTACACTGAGTCTCTGAGAGGATTTTGTGCCATTGTGGCCTCCAATTCTCTCCTCCAAGGAGTCCATGATGAGCCTGTGTTGGGTATTTTGCCCCTTTCTGTTTTACAACAAAGATGGAACTGAAAGAATTTTGTAAGACTTTCTAAAACCATTCAAACAAACATGGGACAATTAACAATGCAATAACAACAATTACTAAGAGAATTAATAGTCTTTTTTTCATCACTCCAACTGTTTTAGTAGACATCATCCAACCCTTTAGTCCCTTAGATTGGAAGAGTTTATTGAACCAGTCTCTGTATTCCACTTGAAGCTTCTTGAACCCTTCTTTCAGTACATGAATACTCTTATGGATTGACTCGCTGTGGCTGGAGAGGTTCATGATACACATGCATTTAGAGTCTACACAACCATGCCTATGTGCCCAGAGTAAAAACGCTATCGCTGTTCTGCAAGGTGGCATGTCTGATGGTCTCTATGTCTGAGAGCAGACCACTCAATGTGAGGGAGGTAGCATTGGTTTGCTTACTTAACAGGCAGCCAAGATGGTCTAATTGTCCTAAAGCTTTAGCTGCAGCCACTCAAGGTAGTCCAAATTGGGGGTGCTACCATCCAATACCTGGATTAAAGTTTTCAAAGCCATCTTTGTGATGTTATCCAATACTTCTCTGAGAATACCTGCTGTTTGATCATCTGGTTGGCTGTGTTGTTGTTCTCCAGCTGGATGGTTGATTGTCAATCCCACCCTTGCCTCATTATTATCATAGTCTGCTATTAATTGATCTAGTAAACACTTCCATCTCCCTTCCCACAGGGTGTATTCTGTAGGTGACAGCAACATGGTCATAATATATTTTAAATCATAGGGGGTTAAGACATAGGCTGTAAACATCGCCCTCATTAGGCCACTAAAAGAAGGTAAGTCCTTCCTATGGTCTTTAGCTGCCCTACACAGATTCTTGATTTCTCCATAAACCAGTGGCTGAGACTTGGGATTCTGCCCCCTTCCTTCATAACATATGGGTGCAATGAGGAGTTTCCTAACAATTTGCCAGTCTCCTTCCTTAATTAGATGGTGGACTTCTAGGGTGGAGTTCTGGAGGCATGGCCCAGGGTGAAGGTGGAATAATTGGCAGTGAAGGCATGACCCACAGTCGAGGTGGTAGAGTCTGGAGGTTCATTCAAGGCAGAAGGGAAAGCTGTGGTAGCAGGAAGTGGAGGAGCCAAGATGGCGGGAGGATGGTCAGGCCACATTCAGGCTCCTTCCATCTTGAGTCTCCAGGTCAGAGTGCTCCAAGAGGGCATGTCCATCACCATCATGGAGCATCGTGGAAAGTCCATGAAAGGCTGATTTGGGAGGAGGTCCTGAGTTAGGAGTGACCAATAGATTGAGTTTTCGACACACTGCTTGCTGGTGAAGGGTCTCAAGGATGGTGTGAAAGATGGGGAGTATGTGGGGTGCAATGGGGTCCCTTTAGATCGAAAGGTTGTACAATTTAACTCCCACTGAGTCCCAAAATTTGGTAGTATAGATTTTTTTCAGCACGGGCATCTGGAAAAATTTTAATAATCCACCTCACAATTGATTTTAATTTGTTCTTTGTAAATATTTTGTCATGATCAGTGAGAATTAACAAAGCATCCATATATGCTCCTTTCTACTTTGGACATCTGGCTGCCCATTTTTCTCATTCTCCACCTTAGAGGGAACAGTCACCGAACACCCCAAACCAATTGTGGGATGTGAGTTCATACTGTAAAAACACAGTGGCAAAATGGGCAATGTCTTGCATTTCTCCAAACCCACCTGCAAACCTACGCAGGTGAAACCGTCATTGTCCCTGCAGATCCTGGCCAAGGTCTCTCAAAGCAATGATGAATCTGCTGGCCTGGCACAATCCAAAATCCTAAGGAACACTGGCCTATCCACCAGCTAACCCCAGCTGACATGATTCAATGTCAGGGTCCCTGTTCGGGCTCCAAAAGTCGCAATGAGGTTGGCTGTGACAAACCTTTCTGGTTCCTCAACTTCAGGGCAAGGGGGGTGAAAATGAAAAGGAGCAGATGCTGGGGAAGATGAAACAGGAAAGCCTTATAAATATGATTGCCTGGCAAAAGATTTTGAAAATATGGAAACTATAAGTAAGATTGAAATGAAAGCAAGCTTTGAGACACCAAGCCTTAGTTACTGAACAACTGGAAAACAATGGTATAGCCGGCTGAATGTTATCTTCTTTGATGAAATAATACCCTCTGCTTGCAGACAGGTCCAAGGGTCAGAGCAGACCCTACTAGCTAGGCAGAAGGGGTCCAAAGAGTAGTTTTTAGGGTTTAAAATGTAACATAGTATGGTAATGTAATGATTCTTATAGGCTGTATGTAAATGTTTAAAGATTTGTATCTCGTACTAGATCGGTTAGTGAAAATTAGAACATGCAGCACAGAAGAAGATTTATTGTATTGTAACAGGAATTCCCCTCCTCTTTCGGGTATCCATTTTGGGCGCCTCTTTCGAGCCCCTCTTATGGGCCTGCTCCGAGCTGTGGCTGGCAGCTCCAAACAAGGCCCCTGCGCCCACACCCTTTGCAATAAACCACAAGTTCCAAGACCTGTCATCTCGTCTCCGTTCATCCCAACCGTTCCAGTCCCTGACAATCCTACAAGCACGATCAATGGAGTTGGCCAAAAAAAACTTTAGTAACAGGGTGAAAAACAATAAACATGGAGAAGTTGAGCACAGTAGGAGGGGTGGGATCCAAAGACCTGAGATAAAGGCGAAGCAACAATATATACACTTGAGGGTAGAACACTCTAGAACACAAAACATAGAGGGGAAGCAAGTAACAAATAGGGGAGGAGAACTTGGATAACTTAGCATAACAGCACTAAAGGCTTATGAGGGAACACTCAAACTCACCCTAAGTTAAACGAATGATTCCTAGGGCTTGAAACCTGCACCCAGGTGTTCTGGGGTAAAATCTGTCTGACTCTGAGTTACCGCTGGGCTAACTCCCCCACTGTCTGCTTTGCTCTGGCACCTTGGGACTATGTGGCCCAACAGAGCCACAATGATGTCCTTGGTTCCACGAGGCTCTACAGTGTCACAATGGTCCCTTAAATCCATGTCGCTCTGCAGTGTCACAATGGCCACTTCATTTCTCAAGGCTGCCAAGTGTCACATTGGTCTCCATAGGAAGGAAACCACAGACCCCCCATATTTCAGGAGCTGATGAACAGCAACCACCAGAGGCCAAGGCAAGCCTGACCTGTCTGTCCTGGCAGGTTTGCTTGGAGTAACCCTTGGATATTTGAAATTATGAATGTGGAGTCCTAATTTCAGACATTTGTGCCTGGAAAAGAGGGATGGGGTTTGCTTTTCATAAAAAGAAAAGCACAGAGCCCTTTTCAGTGTTTGGAAAATAGGTGAGTGCTGCCCCTCAGGAGTCAAAGACCAGCAAAACTTGTCTGTCCTGGCAACTTTAGTGTGGGAGCAATCCTTTAATACACAAAAATTTGGTAAAATTTGGAATCCTAATCTTGGCCATGGATGCCTGGAAAAAATGGACAATTCTTTTCCATAAAAAGAAGAGCCCAGAGCCCCAGTGTTTCAGGGGCAGATGGGAGCAGCCTTCAACATTCCAAAGTCAGCCAGACCTGTCAGGTGACCCCTGGGAGGCCAAGGCAGCATCACCAATTTAATGTTCCCTTGGTTTCACAGGGCCCTGCAGTGTCACTTTGGCTCCTTGCTTCCATGAGGCCCTCAGGTGTCATAATGGCCCCTTGATTACACAAGTCCTTAAGGATCTTAATGGTGTCCATGGTTCCACAAGGCCCCACAGTGTCATAATGCTCTATTGGTTCCATGAAGCCTTGCTGTGTCCAATGGCCTCTTGGTTCCATTGAGGCCCAGTACTGCAGCAATGATTCCCTTGGTTCCACAAGTTCCCAAAGTGTCCCAATGGTCCCTTCTGTCCAT